GGAACTCTGTACTGTAAAGGTAAAAATTTCTGAAGATTTTGAACCTCAGCAGTATTAGCATCCTATTTATTATGAAAATATTAAAGTAAGTTTGTTCTTCCTCATGAACTCTGTAACTCACACAAATTCATTATCCTGCATCTGCTAGAATGTTCTGAGAGATGCACTACACAGGCACAGGATAATCCAATTGTGTGAGTTCGTGGATGACCACTCAAAGAACTACATTTACAGGTATGCAACCTGCCCTTACTTTAGGAACATAAAATATACTATAACCGTAGTATGATACAATTCTGTTTGGCATTAAAGTATTGTGCTTGGTGTGTTACAATTACAATTCAGTGAAACAACATTAAGAAATGTTAAGAAAAAAATATTTTTTGTTAAAAACAGAGCTACAAGTTCCTGAACTATAAGGAATCCTTTTGGATTTGCCATTTTATTTGCAGCAGACAAAAACAGAATAGAACAGAAGAAGCCACCAGTATTAATAAAAGAGGGGGAAATGTGTCCTCTTGTCTTTCAGTTAAGAAGACACAAAATATTCATTCCCATAAAAATGACTGAGAAAAGGACAAGAAGACCAGAACTGCAGTCATACACCGTCTCACATAAGTCTTCCAAGACCATGGTTTTTAGAAATAATTTTGCGGGAATATGTAGATGAACACCTTTTTTTTTTTTCCCCAATTTTGCAGAAATAAAAGTGTTTGGGGAAAAACTGTTTCCCCCCTAATTTTTCTGGAGGTTTTTAAAGGCCTTTACAGCTCTATTGCAGATTAATCTCTGTATTTATGTTCCTTACTATACAAAGTGTGTATTAGTTAAGACAGATTTATTTTATTTTCCTTGCATAGGATATAAGAGTCACTGTAAGAGAGAAAACTAATGAAATTCTCAAGGTTCTCTATTTATTACTATTTTTTAAAAAATAAATCTAAAATATTCTGACTTTCATTCTACTTCATTCAACTGCTTCATTGAACCACTTCCTTGTAATATAAAAAGACACTGAGGGAGAGAGGCAAAGAACATCCCCCCTCCAGCAGCACTCTCCCTTTTCTCCCAGGGTTTGTTTTTTTTTTTTAAAGAAAAGCATTTTTAAAAGAAAAGTAATGTAAACTGAAAGGTGGGATAGCTGCAATGGCTAAAGAAATACCACCAGATTGAATCTCCTTTATCTGGAATTCCAAAATCTGAAATATTCAAAAAACCATAACTCTTCTCATGAATGTCTGAGACATGTTTGCTTTCTGATGGTTCTGATTGTACACAAACTTTGTTTCGTGCTCAAAATTATTAAAAAATATTGTACAAAATTACCTCCAACCAATGTGTATAAGGTATATATGAAAATTAAATGAAAGCTGTGTTTAACATTGGGTCCTAGCTCCAAGACATCTCATAACGTACATATATGCAAATACAGGTCTATAACAAGAAAAACTCCAAAATCCCAAACACTTCTGGTGCCAAGCATTTCAGACAAGGGAGACAACCTGAAGAAGAAAAAATTGAGGGCTCTTTCTAAAAGATGTCTACACAACAATAACAGGCAAAATTAAGCACTGTTACTGGCTTATAATGCCCTTTCTCCAAAATGCTTTTACATGAAAGGGCTGAGCAAACATAATGGGACTCCTCAATAGTATTAATCAAGAATCTTCTATACTGTTGTTTACTTTCCCACTTCCAAGAACCCCTGGCAAGATGAAAGCAAGCAACCCCCCTAGTTTCTTTGAATACCAAAAACCCCTCAAAAACCTCTAAATAAAGTAGTGAAAAATTTCAAATATGTGAAAGTTAAACAGACTCTTTTCTGGCTGCTTGGTTTATAGGACTATCTTTTCAGGGAATGTGTCACTAATTCCTCCAAAGCCACCATAAAAATTCTGCAAAGTCAGAATAGTATCATAATGAATTATGTTGCTGAAAAGAACCACTTCCTAAGTAGCTATTCAAATGGGATGAATTTGCATGCATGGTGTTGCATAACTTGTAGCAACCAATTTCCTCACATTTCAAACGTGCCCTTAGAATACTGTCCACACAATTAAAGTTACTAATTAGTAATAGTGGAGAAAGCCCTTCCCCAGATTTTCTGTGGTTAGTTAACAAGTTGTGCAATTCCAGGCATATTCAGTGTGAATGGATGCCATTCAAATTAGACAGGACACATCTTTTCTTTCCTCATCCTCTGCTCTACCCCATTCGGCAGTGTGAAACTCTTCCAGTCTGTTGACACAATTTACAAAAAAATTAACCACCAATGAGTCATTTAGAGTAACCACAGTCTCAGGTTTGCCTTGAGTGGTAAAAATGGAGGAGGAAGAGGAGGAGGAGGAGGAGGAGGAGGAGGAGGAGGAGGAAGAAGAAGAAGAAGAAGAAGAAGAAGAAGAGGAAGAGGAAGAAGAAGAAGAAGAAGGCACAATCATGGCAGATTTTTTTTAAACCTACCTTTGTCATAGTTGTGTCATCCTTTCTGGGAGTGAAATCTCCAAAAAAGCGCAGGCTATAGAAGCCAACTACAGAGGAGACCATAAGATAGCTGTGAGAATCAAGGAAAAAAGAACACCTGAAGAATTTAAGTTTCAGACTCAAACATCTTGGAGGCAAAGAGGGATGAACTCTTTTAAGTGCATGAGAATGGCTGGCCTGACGTTTTCTCTCTTCTACACCGGCATCATAGCAAATTAGAGTGCTCCAGAATATTAGTGAGACTATTTACTTAAATACAAGAATAATTACTGAAAGGATACAAAATTAAAATGATCTCAAGAGCTGCGCCAACAAAACCAAAGGTGGATAGAGAGGCACTTCCAATGCCAGGGCCCTGGAAGAATATTTAAAAAGAGAGAAAAGGAAGCAATTACTGTACACAGAAATGATGTTGTTGTCTACCTAGAAAACAGAAAGTTCCTTAGACAAAAGTGGCTTATGCAAAGTTATTCTTTAGCCATTAAAAATGCAAGCCAGCTTTTCCAAAATATAGAGCAGGATCCACCAGAGAATTTCTACTGAGAATGCATAAGTGGGTACTGCCCACTCTCCACTGCAACCTCCTCCAGGCACCCCTAAAATCAGCTCTAGAAGGCTGGGAAACAATTCAGTCAGTTTTCAGGCGGTACAGAAGGGCTAAATGGGACAAGAGAGGAGAGAAGTCTACTTTGAAGAGAGGAGAGGGATCTACTAGCAGAATGCTGGATTTAGTGAAAAATTCTTCTATGATCTATTGTATATGTCCCAAACTGGAGGCATTCAGAGCAGATACCAGCACACACAAATAATCTGATTGAAAGCAAAAACAGCTTTAGGGGAAACTTTGAAAGCAACTCAGCTTACTGGCTGTTAGAGGCACTGAAACAAATACAATTCTTGTTTGTAAAGAGAAGAATGCAGAAGGCTCAACAGCCACAATCTACACAACATATTCTATGAACAGAAAAGGAAACTGTGTGTATAACTGGATATTTGTGAAACACTGTTGCTAGTGTCTTCCCTGGTGCTGAAGAGAGACTTTGAACAGCTTTATTTAGCATCATTTAGATAGTGACAGCTAACACAGATCCAGCTGTGGTGCATTGTTCATCTATGTCCAAATAATGCTTGTTCAGACCACAGTTACTGAGATTCTTTCCTATTGTCTATTTAGACATTTTTCCTGCTCCAAAGCATGTACAAAGTACTCCTGAGTATGGCTACTATGCAAAAACATACAGATGCTATCAGAGGGCATAATTCATCCTTTCAAAAACAGAGTGCAATTCTATAACTTTCCTGGGCAGAAGCCCCACTCCCAGAAGGTAACCAAATTACTTCTGAGTAGAGATGTGCAATTTACTGTGCCTTTTGCTGCGGTTAACACCCCCCAAAAAAGACAAAAAGAACAGTACTTTACCCTTGACTGCTTCGGCATTGCAGTTTCATCAACCAACAGACAAAGAATATTACAAGCAACCAGAAGGACTGAGATTGTCTACAAAAAGAAAAAGAGCAGAAACCTCTATTTCAATCATATGTGAAGGCTTTAAAATGTCACTATATTTCACACATTGACAAGCATTTTAGAGTTTTAAAAGAAAAAAATCCCTCTTTAATGAAGAAGAAAATGAAGAAGAAAATATAGTTGTGGCAGTGCAGGGGTCCTCAAACTACGGCCCGCGGGCTGGATCCGGCCCGCTGAGGCCATTTATCCGGCCCGCCGGATGTTTTTGCCACTGCTGCCTGTCCTGCTTGTCCATTGGGGACAACAGGACTTTGCCCCCCTGCTGCCACCCAAAGTTCAGGGGTTCCTCTATGCCACACTAGACTCCCTGCAATGGCCATACAAAATTGAAACAAAAAGGCGCGGGGGGGGGGG